GAGTAACAAATTCTGAAAATCAAAATCTACCTTTAACTGAACTGGTAACAAAATAAATTGACTCAGTCCGGAAAAATTTTTACCTTCACGTATTACAGCAAATTATTTCAGAAAATACTGTTACGAAATAAACCCATACGCCGCTTCGGTACGACGCCTATGGGCTGTCGAGAACTTTCTGGTCTTAACTGATGATGATTCATCCTCAATGCGACCGAGCGCTAAAGAAACGCCTGGAAAAGGCAATCCAGAAAGATCCCGATCGCGCAAAACTAGAAGGAAGTATGGGTTTTAAATAGAGGCCACCTTGGGGAACGATTATTATTCATCTAGCTGAGTCAAGAGAAGTTACGCCCGAATTATTTTTGTACATAATCGCTCTGCAATTAGTCGTGAAATCGGAGTTATTAAGAAATAAATTGCTGAGTTTTACCCACGCCGATTTTATTCGCGGATCAACGTAACAATACCATAGATAAACATTATCGACCGTCTATTCAGTATTTTGATCATCCACCTGTAAATAGTGAAACACACAGGGCATTTTCGTCATTAAAATATGCGTTGATTGCAAAAAAACACAGACTTACACACAAAAATTTAAGAACAATAATACATAATATCGGGCGAGCAATATAAGATGATGTTTAATAATGTAACGGGCGTTCAATTGAAAAATCACTCAGAGTAGGCGTTAGAATATCATTTGACAGAAATGATATAACATACAACAGGTTATGTTTCTGCCAAACGGATGTTATAAAAACAGACATGACATTTGTGTCAAATTAAAAATTCAGTTCTGCCATTTTTTAAAATGGAAGATTTCATTTTATATATAATTTGTTAGTCAGCTTGCCTCAAATGGAACACCTCTATTTTTTAGAGTATGTCATTTGCCAATAAAAGGGCTGCAACAATTAGTCCTATGTTAGCAGGTAGTGAGCCCGCCCACCCACCCTCTCCTCATTCTAACGACAAATTTTTTCCTGTTTAGTATACGTTGCACCTTTCATTCAGAGCAGATGAAATAATTATTGAAATGGAGACGGGGCGGGTGGGCGGGGTAAATTATTTTTTCTTCTGTAGATTGGAATTGAGAAATAATAGTACCCAGACTGCAAAAATTAAAAATTCAGTTCTGCCATTTTTTAAAATGGAAGATTTCATTTTATATATAATTTTAATTTTTTCCTCAGAATTCATCTTCCATTTATTTATAATGCTGAATTCATTTTTCACTCCATACCCAAATCTTCTTCTTTTGTCTGTTTCTTTACTTCGTCTTCAAGACTTTCCTATTTCTTTCGATTTTTGTATGTATTCTCCGTCACATTCCGTACTTTTGTTGCCTTTTCTAGCGTTAAAATCCCCTCCTATCAGGAGAAATTTTTCATTGGCTCTTCAGTTTTTTCTTAAATTTATTACTTCATGTTTCTCATTCCTTTGCCACACATTGTGCAAATTCTCCATTTTTTTTTTTATTTACTCAGCTTCCACCATTTATGTTTCTAGCTCGTTTTGTGAAATTTTTCTTCCTAATTTCCTACTAACCCTCTATTTTTTTTAACTTTTTCTTCTTCCAATGTCCAACGTTATTAATATACCGGGTGATTTACTAAGAGCGCGTTCCTCGACATCTCATTAATAATCAAAAATGGAAAAAAGTCGAAGGCCAAAGTTCTACGGTTCTTTGAGAAGGACGAAAAAGGACGAAGAGGACGTAATAGGACGAAAAAGGTCGAGTAAGGACGAAAAAAGACAAAGAAGGACGAAGGACGAAAAAGGACGAAGGACGAAAAAGGACGAAGGACGAAAAAGGACTCTAAAATTTTTTTTAACTATACAGGATGTTCTATTTTGAAAGCGTAACACACAACTTGTATTTTTAAATGAAATACCTTACTTTACTTACTTTAATTGACCTCTTTTTAGGCTTTATAGTCACAGCTTATTTTTGAAAATCCGATGCAACGTTGCCACGTTATCCCAATTTTCTTGAAATTGTTTAGCAAATATTTTTAAAGTTTGTCTTACAATATCAGAGTGTTTACAAATACATATAGGAATATTGTGAGTGAGTTTACAATATTCAAAATTTTCCAAACAAAATGGTAAAGATTCTCAGTCGACTGAGAAGTGGTGTCAGATTATTATAGAAACATTTCCGAAAAACTACACCATCCGTGTTTCGCAATGAAACGATTTTGGAATATGGACTAAAAATATACAAAGGAATCGAATGGTATAAAACTCAAGGCTCTACGTCCCTGATTTCAGGTAAAATTACTTTATTTAGGAGTTATAAATCGATTATTTATCTCTCCACAAAATATTGTAACACAAAATTTAAAAATAACCGCATTGTGTTTTTTGTGAACCCCCAAAAATTTCAAGAAAATTGGAATAACTTGGCAACGTTGCATGGGAATTTCAAAAGTAAACTGTGATTGCAAAGCCTAAAAAGGGGTCAATCAAAATATGCAAAGATGTATACGGTGTTTCAAAGAGAAAAACTATGTTGTGTTACGACTTAAAAGCAGAACACTCTGTATAGTATAGTAATGATTAATGAGATATCGAGGACTTAGTGACTATATATTTTTTTCTCTTAGTTTCGTTTTTCAAAAATCCTTTTACTGCTACACTATAAATCATTTAAGGACGTATACAAAATTATACAACATAATTTACAAAAACTTCTAATTTTTATTATGACTATTGAAACATTTTTCAAAAAAAAAAATCTGCACCCAGTTCGATTTTAATCCGCTTTTCTTTGCTTCAGGTACCTTGATGTATAGTAAACAACCACAACTAAATTAAAATTATAAAGAGAATTAAAAATGGAAAACGCAGGATACAGTTTCAGTCTTAATATCACTGTGATGAAATTAATTGGTCTTTATCCATCAGACACTTATCAGCTTAAATGAGATCTTCGCTTAAGTCCATCATGACATGCCTCAACATCTCGATCTAACTGATGTTAAGTCGGAAAATCACAGTGATTTCGAAATGGTCAATATCTAATATGGTTTAATTGAATTTACTTATTAGTGAAATTAATTAATCTGTATCAATTTTCCTTGTAACTTCAACTTATTTTAATAATTTTTTATTTTATACAGTGAATCTTTTTTAAAAGTGACAATGTTGCACAAATTTTGATAATAAACTAGCAGTGAATAAAGATACACGTGTGTCCTTTATTATAATTTTCACTGTAGTGATATTACTAAAAATAGAAGTGTGTGCAACACTTGATAAACAAATTTAGTCCATATTGCAAAATCAGTGCACCGAAAAAGGTCATTTAATATACATAGTATTCTTTGAACACGATATTCAAAAACATGTTTTAAATTTCTTGTGAAGAAATAAGTATTTTGTAGTTAAGCTCCTCCCCCTTGGATCACGGCGAATAAAACAAATCATCACAATTGAGACAGGGCGGGTGGGAGGGCTTATATTTTGCCTCTTTGTTATAATATGTCTAGACTTCTTTTCACAACATGAAACTTAAAACATGTTTGAAATGGAAAATTTGTATAAGGAAGTCTCGATTCTGCAATTAGGCTGTGCCCCATAATTGCAAAAACCATATTTCCTTGCAAAAATGTACTCCCTCTGTCCGAAAATATGGTATACATTTTACAAAATTATCATAACTAACGAGTGATGACTAGAAAATTATAATCAAGTAACTTTGTTTGCAACTTTTATAATAATGGAACATCATATAAATAGTGGACTGTCAAAAAACTGAAGAAAATTATTGCAAATAACAGTAAGATAAATCGACACCCGCTGAATTTAAAAAATGGGAGATAAAATTCCTCATCTTAATAAATCCAAACTTCGTCGTGAAGGAAGGTTACCAACGACATTGGTTTCTACTCCAGAAGCTCTAGATAAAGCGCGACTGGATATAAATTGAAATGTATTGTGGTTATAATAGTATTATTAAATAAAATTACAAATGTATATCATAATTTCGGGCAAAAATAAATTTAAAATGTATACCATATTTTCGGACGGAGGGAGTAGTATTTTAACCATATTCTAAGTTTCTTGTTATGAAAAATGGCTATGTATATTAAATATAAGAATTAAAGAAAAAGTGGAAATGGTCACTCATGTATACATTAAAGGCTTATCAACAACAGAAAAATTGCGTAAAATTTTGCTGCAGTATTCCCACATCGTCCCACGCCCGACAAGAGCACAATTTAAAAAATTTATGGTAGATTTATAAACATAGGTTTTCTCGATTGTGGACATCAAAACTGCAATTTCAGTGAAATTATCTTTTATTTTCTTAATTTATGTTTCAATTGATACTATAGATCAAAAAAGGGTTTTGTTTAAACGATAAAATTGTCTTCCTCTTTTCTAAAATCTGTAATAAAGATAAAGGGTGATCAAAAAGTTTTCAGATTAGAGTTGACCATGAAAATATTTGTCATGTCTTTGATTAACCTGTAAAAGTCATGCATAACCTTTAAAAAAGGTAGCACTAGTGCCATTTAAAAAAAATCAGGTTGGCCTTGCTTCTCCAACACAAATGAAGCAAAAAAAAATTTTTGACGAGTAATTAGAGCATAACTTCTTGTACTCCCTATACTTAATTTCAGTTGTTTGTACAATTGGTTTTCAAGATATTTACCCGTTTCCATCCATTCTAGCGACCCTGTATATATAACGTGTGACCAGTTTTGGTCTTATATTTTGCCATTTTTTGAGGTTAATTTATCAGTGTGGTTTAATCACCCACATGCTAAATCCTTTCCAAGGATGACTCAATTACAAATTATGTTGCTCGCCTGATACTTTTGCATGAATAGTTCGATTTTCAAGGTGCGTAAAATTTATTATTATTACTAGTTTTTACCAAAATACTATTTTATTACATCTATTGCTGGAAGGCGATTCAAGACGCTCAAATTCCGACCGCCTTTACAATAGTTTTTATGCTTGACGTTAAGTGTCATAAATACCTGCACGTGGTAAAAATGTAACATATTAACTGCTGGGAAGTCGAGTGCCACCACATTCTGTCGTTCCACCTCTTCGCTGTATTCTAATTGAGTCCTCAATCCCAAACTAGCGGCAACAGCTAACTTATTATAAACAACAGAGTGCTCTCCGTGCAGTATGACTTTCCCAGGGGCGGAAATGCGAATCTTTACTAAAAATTCAGTTCTTCAGACTACTCGCCCAAGCAAAAAATATACTCACGTGGGGGTTGTGATGATGTCATGTCTAATTAACTGTTTTGCTCCTTCCACTGCTCCGGAGTGAAAGTCTTTTGAGAGAAGGCGTGGATGCTTTTGAGTTCTTCCTTCAGCACGGAATTGACCAATCTGTGTCTTTGTAGCACTGGTTTGCCACGAAATTTGTCAGACACTATAACGCACGAGAACTTTCCACCGCAACCGTCCGATTCGTCTACTACTTCCTGGAAAAATGGGAAATTGTGATGGTAATTGGGGGCGGAGGTCAAATGGTGTGCATTTACATAAGTATTAACAATATCAACTTTTTATGGTACAGTTTATTATAATTTTGTAAAATGTAGGTTGTAGTTTTTAAAAAATGTCGTGATTTGACAATTGTGTCATGGCTGTAAAAAATGCCAATTAATGCACAAAATTGCTTAGAACTCGACTGGAACCGTTTGGTAATTTTTAGATAAGTGAGTTGACCTAAAATCAGCTTAAAACTAATTCACCTCTAACCTGTGTCCCTGAACTTTTCAGATTTTTTTTATTTAAAAAACTGAAGAACAGAAGTTTTAAATTCTTTCGCTTTTACACGGAGATTAATAAGTAAACTACACATATAGACGCACATTATTTTATACATTTTAAACAGGATTTACTTAGCAATGTTTTGAGGTGACGTCACTGGATAGCAATGAGTGGCTAAATTTTGGTTGGTGACGTATCTGACAGGGGCGGCTTGTCCTATGAGGCAGGTGAGGCAGTGCCTCACCAATGAATTTTACGCCTTATTAGGATTTTTATTATTTTATACGGACACATTTCGGCCAATAATTTGTGTCTTTTTTCTAAAATTTTAAAAATAAATATAGAAAATGATATTCTTATTTTTATCTCGGTAGGTACTCGTTGCTCCCTTAATTAAACAGCGCGCTTAAACACTCGGCACAACATGTATTTTGTGACGCGAATGAGGCAGACTGGAAGCTTGCCTCTACAGCATATATAGAAATCATGTCGTTAATAGGCAAGCAACCTGCAATACACTCATAAGCGGTATGAGTTGAAAAAAGACAAAATTGAGGCTAGCCTCATTTCCGTGCTTGCAAAAGAGATGGACAACAATATTTGCGCGCCTAGAACGTGCGATTACAATGCAGTCTGCATTGGCAGAAATATTCAAAATTAGGCCGTTGATTGTTTTGCCATAAATCTGTGTGTGTATAAATTGATTCAAAATTTCGGTAACAGAATTTTGTCTTAAAAGTGCCTACGTTTGCGTGGGTCGCGTTAGTGCTTTGTGCTTGTCATAATTTGATTTCGGTAATCGTTATTTAAGATTACGAGTAAATCGGAATTTTTCTCTACTAACGTTAAAATGACAATGGCAGTTCTGTTTTTTCTACTTTCACGTATGATGATAAATTGTATGTAGTTAAGGAATTAAAACCGCCGGTTCCTGATTTGAGTAAATCGTTAATTGATCCATAAAAAAAATTTAAAATAAATCCGTATTTATATTTTATATTTTTTTCATTTTGTTTTTTGTTATAAATCAAATTAGCTTTATTTTATGTTGTATTTGATCTTTTTCGATATGTTTTCTTTAAAGTTTATTTTAATTTTGTTTTTTGTTAGAAGTTATATTTGTTTTTTCTGACCACGCTTCCCTTTCCTTTTGTCCTGTCATTCTCATCCTTTCCTTGCAAGACCTCCTTACACCTTCACGTTGGTTCTTTGTGGACAGTTAAATGAGTTTACAAATTTCTTTATTTGACTAAATAGAAAATATTTAAGTAATTTTGATTTATTTATATTTTAGAGCGTTTTGTGCTTTGCCTCATCAATTTTTCAAGTCATGAGCCGCCCCTGGTATCTGATCTATTGCGTACCTCAAAACATGTGTTAAACTTTCGAGAAGTGAATTTAGTAGTTTTTAAGATTAACCTGTAAAAATTTTCTTTTTTTTTCAGTCTTCACATGCAAAACGTATAAACCACGGGTTGGTGTAGAGTCTGTAGACTCACACATTATCAGTATAAAGTTGGTTACCACAAGGTGAAAGATATTAAAAAGTACATAGTTACAACCGTTGAGTATTGGGTCAAACAAGTGATGGGTGTGACATATGAACAGTTCATAAAATGCTCAAAGTTCGCGTTGTGGTTAAATGAAACAGTTCGAACATGTATTGTGCCGCGAACGAAATAGATATGTCAAAAAATGCTACTACTGAGTTTCCGAATTCTGGTACCTATTACATTAGTCTATTTTCAATATTTTAGAGTTTTAGAAAAACATAGATTTGAAATTTTTAACAAACTATGGTTATATTTACAGTATACCGGGTGTCTGGAAAATGGCGGACTAACTCTTCAGTATGATATGTTTCGGTAGTCCCAACAAAAAAATAAAAAAATTCTTTATGATGTAAATTACGAAAAAAATGTAATTTTATAAAAGTAAAATTGGCAACACTGCACGTACACACCTAATGCGTGAATACCTCCGGTATACCTTCTGATTTCTTAGTTACGATAAGTGACTGAAATCCACCTTTTATGTTTTTTGGACAATAAACATAACAAACTGATCTAGCAGCTACTAGCTCCGCCCACCTAACCTTCCTATTCTTCGAGGGTATGTCATTTGCCAAAATTGATCTTATTTTAACAGGTACTAACCCCGTCCACCTGTCCTCTATTTTCTTAGCGAGATCTCATTAGCCAAAATCAGTCTCATCTTAGCAGCTACTACCCCACCCAACCACCCTCTCTTTTTTCAGAGGGTATGTCATTTGCCAAAATCAGTTTTATCTTAGCAGCTAGTAGCCCCGCCCACCCACCCTCTCTTGTCTTAGAGGATATGTCATTTGGAAAAATCCATCTTATTTTAGCAGGTAATAATTGGTAATCATTGAAATCGGGGTGGGTGGGAGGTGCCTATTTGTTGACTTTTTTTCTTAATATGTGTAGTTTTCTTTCAAAAACACGATACATACTTAATTTTAAAATTCACCATTTTATGTTTTGAATATTTTATTAAAAAAAAACACTGTATATTATGGAAAGCAAATCGATGGATACTATCCACCCACCCTCCCCACTTCCATTGTGATCAATATTCTTGTTCGTCCTGAGACGGGGGCGGAGCTTAAATGCAAAATTCATAGTTTTCTACAAGAAATTACTATGTGAAACATGTTTTAAGTACTTTGGTATTTAACCCGCCCCGATTTCAATTATGATTACTCTTTCATTTGGTGGAGCTTAATTGCAAAGTCCATACGTTTGAGGAATAGTATTGTAGAAAATAGACCATTTTGAGCAAAACAGGGAATGAATATTTTTCAAAGAGTACCCCCGCCCACCCTCCCCATTGTGATTAATTTTTTTTATTCGTTGCGAGACGGAGGCGAAGCTTAAGTGAAATGTTCGTAAGTGTCATATTCATTTAAAATTCACACACGTGGTCCTCGAGATTGTGTCAAAATCGTCTAAAATAGACACTTGTGGCCCCCGAGATTCCTCCATAATCTTCTTAAAAAGACACTCGGAAGTCACGAGATTCTTTAATAATCATTTTAAAAATAAACAAATATGAATTTTGCAATTAAACTCCGCCCCTCGATTTGACAACAAATGAAAAATTCGGCACAATTGAGAAAGGGGCGGGTGGGTGGGGCTTAATTAATCAGTGGTTTCTTATTGTAACATATACATATATAGTCTCTTGTAACAACACGATACTTAAAGCTTTGGGGCCCCCGAAATTGTATCATAATAATTTAAACTAGATACTTGGGACCCACAAGATTCTTTAGTAATCTTTAAGGCTCGCGTCTGGATCGGTTTCGCCCTATACTAAATACATTGAAAACATCGTCGTGGTTTCCGGAGTTGCATTTTAAAAATACGGGATATATCGCTTTAAAAAAATTATATTTCGAATTAACAAACTTGAGTCCAGGGGACCTCCATATTTATATTCATATCTAGTCCGCAGTTTCTACAAAAAAAAATTATAAAGTTGACCAATTTTTACACCAGATTTAACCGGTACATTGATGCATTTTTTGAAGAAGTACTGAAGTGATTTGCATTCTGAGATAGGAGGTCCCCTGGGGAAAAGTGTCAGCTTTCTTTTGATACCATTTATAATCCTAAAAAATTCACGACTGAGATAAATAACTATCGAAAAGACAGAATCTGTTGAAACGAGAAATCGCCATTAAACGCGCTATGATGCCGTAGCAGAATACAGGTTTACTTAGATTCTGGTTTGGTTGCAGACTTAATTTAATGTGGACCTTGTCCACCAGGGGGAGCTGTTTTTACTCAGCGATTTATCGGAATAAAATTTTGATATCGCATTTCCGATTTTACAATACCATTTCGGTTTTTAGAAGTGACAAAATAACGTATCCATCCAGTGGCGTAACAATCAAACTGCGGGCCTGTGTTCTACAACACTGTGGGACCCCTAATGAACAGCGAAATAAAAATATTTAACAATACGAGTATAATGAGTAAAGAATGAGTAGATTGCAATTAGCGCTAACGTTTTATTAAAATCATTCTACCTGAAACATTGAATTAAAAAAATAAAATACAATAATTACCTGAAGAAATACAATTAAAATATATACAATATTAGAAACTAGCCGACCCGCCAAACGTTGTTTTGGCATTTCTAGTGAATATTTTGGTACACAGTTAAATAAAAAATTAAATTAAAATAAATACATAAAAATTTATCGTACGACAATGATTATATTCAATGGTCATCTTGCAACCCTATTGCGCATCTGTGGATGAAAGCAAAGATACTCATATCGTTATTAAAAAATGGGGGTTGGTGGTAGAAGGGTCAAAATTTAGGGTTATATGTATTTTTTGATGGCAAATCTTAAAAAAATAAAAATAAAAAATGTCTAAAAAATAAAAAAAGTTTGGTGGGTCACTCTTATCACTTAGGGGTTTAAAAAATAGTTTACTAGACCTACCGAATATACACAAAAAAATTCATAAAAATCGGTCAAGGCGTTTCGGAGGAGATTGGTTACAAAAACACTGTGACACCAGAATTTTATATTAGATTATTTTAGAAAAAAATTCTTTACCATAAAAAAGGTTATACTGAGTCGACCTTAAAAGATTGACGTATGCTGTCGCGGACTTTTTTTTAGAACTTTTAGAAGGGAACAATTCCATCATACATGATTTTTATGTAACTTTAACCGTTTAATACGCAGCGTAAGCAACGGAAGCTGTCAAAGGACGAATAATTTTCCCGTTTTTCCGATATTTTTTCATTCTATAATAATTTCCCAGTCCAGTTTTTTTTCTACTTAAAAAATTAGTTGTAACATACGTCAGATATATTTTATTATTCCAAAAAAGCACCACAAGTACAAAATTAAAATAGTTTTGAAAATACGAAAATTTTCATAAAACACAACTGAAACTGATTTTTTTTTTCACGTTTTATTACAGCATGAAGTTTCACTGTAGAACTGAGGACAAAATTTAAGTATTTTGTTGTCTTGCATCATAAATTAGTCATACTTTTGTCGGATAAAGATTGGTAATTTACTACATGGGGTGTTAGATTTGCTACAATGGGATTGCGACACTGCGACAGGTTTATTACAAACAGATGCTGCTGCATTTTCGACCGCCGGTGCCTGTCGCTAAAACCCGAGTTTATTGAGTCTATGATATTGAATCTTTAGTTGATTGTTTATTTTTTTCAACATTTTCTACAATTTCAGAAATTATGGATTCAATAAACTTATGTGTTTTTTTACTGTTTGTACAATTTTTTGTACTAATTGCACGTTTTGTTTTTTTTTTGCGTAGATAAAATTTGTCACGAGCCATTATTATAAAATAAGGTGTAACAACAAAAATATAGTGCAAATAATTTGTAAGTGGACGACCGAAACTATGTTTTAGGCAGACACTGACAAAGTGGTAGTAACATTGGCAACTGTTCCAAAACTGAGTTTTGCCGAAAAAAGGTACTTTACGTGCATTTCAAACAATTACATTCATAGGACTCTACCATTTCTACCAGCCAGATGTAAACAACCACCTACAATAAATTTAACAACTTTTGTTTGTCACCGGAAGTGGGACTGGTATTGCGGACTGAAATTATCCCTTGTACACGCTTTCGACTCCACTTGAGTAACAATTTTTTTCCGAATTTAAAATTACGTTCAAGCTGTTGTTCAAGCCTAAAATTTAAAATTAAATCTTTCCGAAACAGTATGACAAATATGTAGTGAACAAAAAATATTTACACCTTATACAAAAAAATGAGGTTTACGATGCGCAAGCATATGATATACGTAAAATTAAAAGTGCAAGTCAAAGTTAATATGCATAAAAAATAGCAGCTGCTTCTATTAAAAATTTAAAATTAATTATTTAAATCCTTACAAAACGATATACTAACAAACAGTTTAAGCAAAGTCAAATTTTTAAACAAACTGCCTTCTGCCATGCAGTTAGCCGCCAAAATAATTAACATGAATATTTTAGTACTTACATAAAAAACCACCGTTGAATGCTTAGAATTACTTGCACACAACGTACTAATGATTTACGTTGAAGAAAGTAAAAAATGTTGCTATGTGGCTAATAGCTTCAAGGACACGTTATTATTCATTTTCAAACGATTGCGGCTAATAATTTTAACAATTTATTGTTATTTACTTGGTAAATATATTTTTATTTTTATTACTATTGTTTTGTTGCAAACGATAAAGTAAATAGCAAAACCAAACTCTTATACATTATTAAGTTTAAGAAAAATTTTCCGCCAAAAATATTCTATTTGTAATGAATGGGCATGTCCGACAGTGCAGATAGTAGGAAAATAATAAAAATATTTACTTATACCGGAAATATTGTTAATTCTCTTATTTCAAGTTTGGCCTACAAATGTGGAAAATCCCTCCCGTTCGTAAATAGTACCTTGGCGCGACCAATTTTTGCTTTAGATGATGTTCCTGTAATTCAGACAAACAACACATCCTTGATAGGAATAAATCACATATCTACAGATAATTCCCCGACAGTAGGAGGTACTTTAATATTTATAGTGGACCAAAAGCTATAAGGTTATATGGCCATCATAAAATCATCCCATTGTGTCGAAGTTAAGTTGTTTAAAATAGAAAAGGTTTTAGGGTCGTAAATAACGTGTCCACTGCAGCTCGACCGGCTGTTGTGGTTTCGTTCAGGGGGGGCTTTCAATAAATATGAAAATCCACCACACCACTATTTCTTTACTACCTGCAACCGCTGAGGGTTCCGAAATAACCACTCGCTTTGAAAGCCGGCCCTGTTAAATGTGAGCAAGAAATGTTTAGAAGACGATTTATTGCCAACCGGTAAGCTTAGTGCGAACCACACAAAGGGGGTATTTATTTGCGGTCAACTAATTTTATGATGGTCATATAACCTTATACCTTTTGGATAAGTATACATATATTTAATATATTTACCGAAAACAATTTAAGTACGGAAACAAAATAAATAACTGGAAAGAATTAACTGTAGCCAAAATAGGAAAATGAATCAGTGAGTTTTACATCTTTCCGGTTTCGAACGGTCAAGGGTAAATTCAGGTACCCGGGTTTTGTTTGCAACTATTATGGCTAGACAGGCACTGCGGCTTGTGTACTAAAACTTATTTCCGTACAGTAAAATGTAGAATTCTACGGATCGGTGCTGCATTTATTCACATTTTAGCAATTCACTAACAGGAGGCAGCATCTCCCGGGTCGTTTTATTCTCACTTTGACCAGGCAGATATTTTGCCTCCAGACGGCACCCTTGAATCAAACAAGCATGAATTTTGCAATCAAGCCCCGCCCCTCGATCTGACAACAAATGAAAGATTCATCAAAATGGAGATAGGGCAGTTGGGTGGGGCTTAATCGTTGGTTTCTTTTTCGTAGTGTGAATAGTTTCTTTCGAAAACACAAAACATAATTTTAACCTCAAATTCAGCATTTAATGTTTTAAATATTGAGGAGCTACTAGTTACGATAAAACTGATTTTGGCAAATGACATACCCTCTAAGAAAAGAGCGGGTGGGTAGGTGGGGTTACTATCTGCTAGGATAAGACTTATTTTCGCAAATGAGATCCCTCTAATAAAATAGAGGGCGGGTGGGTGGGGCTAGCATCTGTTGATAAGACTGATTTTAGCAAATGATGTATCCTCTAAGAAATTTACTCGTAATTAAATTATTATAAGAAAATACACTAGAGGCTCCAAAGCACTTTCAAATTATTTCCAAACAGAAATTCCAAGAACCTCAAGATTTGGTTTAAACTTTTCAAAAAACAAAAACGGGATCCCAAAATTAACTCAAAAACAGGTCAGGTCGGAATTTTCCAAAAATAGTACACCGAAGTACCAAAGTCCACCAAAATTGTTTTAAATACTTAATTTATAAAAAAAATCTCCATGGGCTCCCAAAATAATACACCATGGGTACCCAAGAGTTTGCCAAATTAAAAAAAAAACACTGCGGCACTCAAGACTTTTCCAAATTCTTAAAAAATACAATAGTAAAAGTTCAAAAGATTTTTTTAAGTTCAGCTAGCAACAAAACACCAGATTCCTTTGAATTTATCCGAAAATAAAACACCAGAGGACCCAAAATTAACTGCGAATATTTTAAGCGTACGTAGGGTTTTGAAAACTTTGACAATTTTTGATACGGCAAACATTTTTAACTGCTTACTCGATTTTTGCTGATTTGTACCTTCGCTTTATATCAGGCAAACATTGTTGTCAAATGGAATTTTACCAAATTATTACAAAAACAACACAACCATATCTTTGTACAAGTTTTATTACTAGTTACTGTGATAATGAATGTTTTTTACTTGTTAAACGTAGCAAAAAAACAATTTTAAAATCATTATAACTCCACCAAAATGTGAAAAGGATTTTTTTTACGATTGCTCCCAGACTCACCAGTTGATTATTTGGAGCGTAGCGGGGAGTTAATCCGCCATTTTCCAGACACACGGTATAAAAAAATCGTATAGATGATGTGCCATACTTCAATGAAATGTTTAAGAATTCTTTCTATACTATTTTCTTACTTCTGTGTATATTTTGCCATTTGGAAATTTTTTGGTACTCAAAAGATATAAAACCCATTCTAAATCGCTATATACCGTGTCATCAGAAATGACTGCGTCTGTTGGCAGTACCTTTTAAACAACAATGTGAAATTTCCTTACCTATGTTGGCATAACGGAAGTAATTCTATGACAGATGTCGATCGTGACATGCAATAAATGTAATAGGTGACGTTTTGGATACATTTTACAAATTAAAAAATATCACTAATCTGTCAATCTTGACAGACGTCATGATATCAATTTCAATTAAAAATCCAAGATTGCCAACAAACCCAGTCACTTTTGATTACGCGGTTCGTAGGTACTCGGATGTCAAACTTACTCAAAAAGAAAACATCAACATTATTTATTTGTGAATAAAAACACAACAATGATAAATTAACTTTTATTTACAAATTATCAATAACATACTACGAAGATTTCAACTTTACATTTCTAATATCATCAAATTCTTGAGGAATCTTGATCTGTTGCACATTAAAATAAACAAAGAACCCGAAAAAATGAACAGCTGAATACGCTGAAATCAAAAGGGGGAACAAATCCGGATATCTCTCCGGAGGATCAAAAACCAGAAGCAGAAACGAGAGAAATACAGAACCCATCAAAGACGTGAACATAAACAAATGAAATGCAAATTGCTTCAAAGTTTTTCTATTTCTCACAATCTCCTTATAAGTCAGTTTCAAAATATCTAGCTGCGTGGCCTTTTTGTACTCTATATTCAAAAGAACGTGCAAAAGACTGCGGTAATACTCAGCTAACCCATCGGAAGCGTTAAGGTAGTTCCTATAGAAGTGTTCAATCGAGACTTGGAACGAAGTGCTGTAGAAAATCATCAGCGCAACAGTGGCTATAACAAGACCGTCTTTGTACAGCAGTGGCGTCATACTGAAAACTGACAAACAAAGGAACCAGAAACAAACGAATGGTTTTTGGGGGAAGTACAAGATGACCGGAATCGCTACCAACAAAATAGTTTTTTCATGAACTTGAAAACTAAACAAGAAAAAGGCCAAGGAAGAGTTGATTAGGGCTAAAACAAATTTCTTTGAACTGGGGCGAAGGAAAAGATCGATACTGGAGGGAAAAACCATAGAAATCGTGGCAAACAAACAAATTCGCATCATTTCATAATTCGTAAAACGGAGTTTGAGTTTATAAAAAATGTTTAAAACGCACCAAAAATTTGAAACTTTGTCTTCGAATACACCGCGACTTAACGGAAACTGGCGTTGCAAAACCACAAGGAAATCGTCCATATTGAATAAAAATGGCGCCCAAATTGTCAAAAATGACAAGACGACGGTTACTGCGATTTTTGATAGTTTGATAATGCCACTTGTGGTGCTTTGGCCGGGTTTGGGTACACACGAACTTAGCAAATACATAAAGAACGGTAACGAATGGTAAAGTTCCATTTGTTTGTAGTTTAAAGCTGCACAGAAACAAATCGATGCGGCGATGTTGAACTTTTTAAGAACGAAAACTGTGGCGAAAATCGCGAGTCCTAATGATACACAATTGTATTGAAAGTGTCCATGGTCTATCAGTATAATTCCGGGATAAAGCAGCCCCAAAATCGTGGATAAGGATGGTGACAAGGGTTTCACTTTCTTGTCGCTTCCTTGACATTCTGTGGCATAAAAATAAACCACTAAGGATGGAATGTAGACTAGAATATCCACCACAAGGACTGTGTATCTCATAAACAATTTATGTTCGTCGCTTTCAAAGCCTCTCGAATCGTGCAATTTTGTATAATTTTCATTAATAAGTTCTGCCAATTTTCCAGCTGCAAACATGTGGTAAGCAGTCAAAGGAGGGTAGTCCAGCCCCCAATACATCAGGTCATTCTCACTCCCATTCTTGTACCATTCGGTAATGGGCAAATTTGTGGTGATTTCCATCCAGTGCCTTTGAGCTTCATAATCTCCATACATAGGCGGTGACCCTTCTCCCGAATAAGGGTGTAAAGTGGTGCAACCCCTTAACAAAACAGCCACCAAAGTCCCAAATATCACTAACCACACTTCACAACTGAGTTTCACGCAAAACATCGCAACTTTTACGAGAGATGTGGCAGCCGGTTTGATAAAATTGTGAGGTTAGGGGTGTTTTGACAGATGAGGAGAAAATAATAAAAATCAGGACTTACGACATGAGAGGCTTCCAGTTCCTGGGTTAACTTGTTTTTAATGTAGTCTTCCGTGTACTGGGACATTCTTCTAACGGTACTTTGCGACACGCTCCGGGAAAGCACGGCAAATCCAGGCGTTTTGACAGAAGACAGGTTAAGACGGTTAAACATGCTAGGGAAGTGCTATTAGACTTATTAGAGGTTAATAACGACAGTTTTAGGGCAAGGGGTTGTATAGAAGTTTTATTTTTTGACAGTATTTTGGTTGCGAAGTAATTTTTATTTAAATCTTTTCTGAAATTGTCCCTGAGAGTTTACGACAAAGTGGCGCCCTCTGTGACACCTGTCATTTTTTTAACGTGAAATTTTAATTTATCTTAATTTAATGAAAAACAACCTCTCATACTTATTTAATTGTGCACAGATTAAAGTGTTCATGTGTCTTATGCAACGATTTTTTCGTGGTTCGTAAAGTGAAATATTTAAAAAAGTAAGGTTATGTCTCAACAACCCCCCGACAGTCGCCAGTTGTCCTCGGAACAATGGTCTTTTCTCACCCAATACTTCGTCGGCAACAATTACCGCTTTCGTGAAAATATCATTATTCCGAAAAACTTGGGCCCCGTTCAGATTAAATCAAATGAAGAGAAAATGGTGGAAGCATTTTTTGAAAGCTGCCCCTTCAAGTCTTTTATGAGTTGCGTTATGGGGTACGGTTTAGGGGCTGCTATTGGTTTGTTTTCGAGTAGTGTAGGACCGACCGCGACGAACGTCGAACAACAAACAGCAAGACAGGTCTTCCAAGACATGAAGAGTACGACACTAAGTTATGCAAAGAATTTTGCTGTTATTGGAATGATATTTTCAGCGGTGGAGTGCTCTATAGAGACGGTAACTTTTACTGTTGTGGTGACTGGATTTTAATTATGTTTTTTAGATGAGAGGGAAGTCGGATTGGAGGAATGGAACATACGCGGGTGGCGTAACAGGGGGTCTTATTGGCTTGAGAGCTGGAGTGAAGGCAGGCGTACTGGGGGCCGCCGGGTTTGCCGCGTTTTCGACAGCCATAGATTATTACATGCATTCTAGGTTTTAGTGTAAAGTTTTAATAAATTGTTAGGTGTATAGTTGGTTGCATAATTTAGTTGCTTGGAGGGGTTGGAGTTATATCATCATTTTTATTGTCACTTTTTATTACCTAGAATAAGCAAGAATTGTTTGCTCATTTATATAATCCAAAATTTGTTTGAAATTATTCTACTCTCTTGGATAATGTTGCCCCAAACTCGCAATTATCTAATTAAACCCCATTTCGTCATTTTCGGCGGATTTACATTTATATAATGGTTCACATTTACTTACTTTCACCGTATCTTCTCATTGGATGAAAAGAAATTATTCCGGCTCTGCCAACACGCGTTGTTACATCGTCAGGTCAGGATTACGTAATTTTATACATTTTGTAACAATTCAACAGCTGTAAACAAATATCGAGACACATTTTCGTTTCCTCATGTTTGACCTTGACACGGTGAAGTTTTTTTTCTGAAGTGGAAACATGAATTGCTAATGGCTTGCTAATATTTAAAGAAAAATATATATTTACGACGCGAAGAATCATTTACATAGGTAGTTAAATTTGTCGAAATATTTTTATATTTGTGAATGACAAATTTTCGCGCTGTTATGATTTATAACGTCTGTAACGTTTATATACGGATAATTAAAAAGTTAATGTACAGAGGATCTGCGAAAAACTAGAAATTAATGTCTGTAAAATAAAAACAAACAATGCAGTTTACGGATCCGAACTATAGGTAGGTAGGTCCCCATCTAAATTAAATCAGTTAAAGCATTAGTATAATACACTGATCAGAATTTATTATTAACATAATCGCTAACAAATATGGTTAAAAATTAATTAATTATTATTAATGTAACTTTTAGATGAGTAGTTGTTGACAATTACTTGTTATGTTTCGCATAATAATGAATATTCTTATAACTATCGTGCTTAATATGAAAGAAGTCAACAAACTAATTTCATTGCTTCTTGCTTCTATCTTATTAAACACTGTGTATATTACATGAACACAACACGTAGGCATGATGCACGACAATGAAAAAAATTTACATTGCGTCAATCAGGTTAATATTTTCCCTAAATGAATTCTTTTTAATTTGAGAAGATGCCAACATAGTTGTCAGTGTCAGTGCCTGGGAATAATAATGTGAAATCGATATTTATGCATGCAAAATATATATCCAATCTAAAATGTTGTAGAGCCTCTATATAATGGACGTTATTACTTCAAAATTATTTTACAAATTTGGCTGCTGTCGAGAAACCAGTCGATTACAGTTACTTTACATCTATTCTATAATTTGTTTTAATTTGTGTCGAATACTGAAAAGTCATATTTGGGCAATTCCACGATAAAATGTCAACCTCAGCACATTTTTTTGAAAATTGTTAAATTAATCTAAATCTTACAATTAGTACTTCTAAAATCTTTAAATTTTACTGGCATATATTTGCTTTTACAATACCTTAACATCCGCAGTAAAAATTTCTTGTTATTGAGGAATAATAAAATTGTTCAAAGAAAAGATAGATATTATATCTTCTTTAACATCGCTAGAAACAAACTAAATATCGTAATTTACTTACAATATCAAGCACGGTCGTAAAGAGTGCACCTTTGTTGACAATAATGTACAATCAATTCTTATCCCATCATCTTTAAAAAATATTACGCTTCTTTTTTCTGATATATGTGATAATTGGTGTAAGTAACGATAAGGGACTAATTTTCATGTTATTCGGAAATATTAAAAATAATTGCAAATCAGGTTACATTATCTCTTTTTCTCGTTCTCGCTCTCTATGTTCAATGTACTTTTATTGAAATTGCCTTGTGATTATTATTAAAAATCGCATCGTTACTTACGCGAAACGGGATAATTTTATTTCGGTGGCTTAGCTTTGAAATTAAATAATTAGTCTTGACAGTCGTTAATCTACCAATAATTTGATTTTGCTGTGTGATTAACATCCACGGAAAGAGTAAGAAAACACCAACAAAAAGTAAAGAGACTCAGAATACCTAAAATCAACCAACCGAAAATACCAGCAGGAATATAAGGCAAACATAAGCAGCACAAAGAAAAAAGACATTGCGCTATAAAAAAGTTAAGATACCATGAAAATAACAAGTAGAAAAGCGAGAAAAAGCCAAAATAAAAATAAACAAATCGAGATTTCAAATGATGGTAATGTCATCAAGTAAATATATTGTAAATTCGGTAACTTTGAATATTTTTTCTTTTAGCATTTAATCCTTTTATTTTGACATTACATACATTTGTTCATTTCAACTTATAGAGGTTCTCATAAAAAAATTAAATTTGCAAAATCAAATTTTGCCTATAATTTTCGTAATTGCTGGAAATGTTTTATTATATGCACTTCATGGGCGAGGCAAGTTCTGTCTAAACAACCTTCGACCAACTTTTTCTTTTGTTTAAAACACGAATTTACAATTTTTCTTACTTCCGTGGCAGTTAATATTCACAAGTTCGCGTAAGAAACGATCAAATCGTGTAAGTAACGATGACATCGTGTAAGTAACGCATTTTTTTCTCTATTCAGACATAATCAAAATTAAACTTCTTCTCAGTTTTTGACAACACGAAAATTAAATTTTTTATCAATATAACTGTTTTTGTATGATAATTCACAATTCCATAGAAAATGGAGAAAATGTATCAATTCCAGAGAAGTCAGGTTCAAAGATTTCGCATAAGTAACCCAAACTTTTAATTAAATTTTGACTAAATTAAATATGACTTTAGTAATATCAAATTATTAAGAAAAAAGAGAAAACAAATCTCTACGATTAGGTTGAAAAATGAAAGTGTAAAAGCACTTATGGGACAGTTTAAAACAAAAAAACTTTGCAGAGTTTCGTACGATTTTAGCCTAAGTAACGGTGGAATTGCCCATTTACGTTGACACTATTAGTTTAGCAGAATCCTCAACCAAAGAATTTGTATATGTTACAGCTAATATCCGAAATCCGTTATTATGCATAATAACTAGACATTTTAGGAATTATGCGTAATAACTAAACTTGTCAGTTATTATGCATAATAACCAGCAACATTAGGCATTTTGCGTAATAACTGAAATTTTCAGTTATTATGCATAATAACGGAAACGTTTAGGTAATATTGATAATAACTAACACAGAAACAGGAATTATGCATATTTTCCAAAAAGCTACCCACCCTGCCTCGCTTTCTCCTACATACCACATGTACAGTTGATTTAAAAAAAAAGGGACAAATTACAGTTATATAAACGTCATATTCCCATTGCTTTTCATTGATCTATGAGAACCTGAGTTGCTCATCTTGTCTCGTTTTTTTGAAATCAGCTGGACATGTTATAAGCCTTTGAAAATGGTAAAAAGTGAAAAAAAAATAGAACAGGATGATACCCACTGGAAAAGGAAGAAAATGTAACAAAAATAAAGGGAAAAATAATTTACGGGCGATCCGAGGTCCGGAAGGGGAAGAGGGTGAGCTTTTAAGGGTAGAAAACGGTTTATCACGATTTCCGGCAAAAAGTTAAATGGCAAAGTTGTAGGTAATAAAAAGATCTACAACTTTTGTATTTACATTTTCTTTCCTCAAAATCTATGCGAAAAATGCAAATAACCGAGTTTTTGGTTTCTTATTTTTAGCTCCCACAATTTTTTTTTTTTTTCACTGTCATTTTTTTGATACAAAATATTTATTTTTTTTACCTTATTTTGATTTAATATCGAAAAACCACCCTAATTTTCAATCGAAAATTCCCACGTCAAAATATTTGCTTTTTTAAAAAAGTCGGTGTGCTTTTTGTTCGCTGAAATCTCTACTTTCTGAAGGTGTAAAAAAAATTATACATTACTATGGCAAATTTTCACAGGAAACGCAAAAAAACGAAAAACTCGAATTCAAAAATTTGTTTTTTAATTATTATGTAAAATTTGGAGCTATTTATAAAAGGGTACACGTTAATTACTCGAAAAACGTAATATTTCATGTTACATTGATAAATTAAAAAACTGCAAATCGAAATATACTACTATAATTAACAACCAAATAAGTTAATACACTTAATACTTATAAGACATCTACAATATTTTGTTAAAGTTGTAGGATAATTTTTAAATTATATGCATAGGTGCCTATTTATTGCTATTTTAAGATAACTTACATACCTGAATGGCCTACGGAAAATTTTAGCCCATCGGAAGAATGAACAACATCGTCTATAAAAATACACGTGCAGGCTGAGTTACTTGAAGAGAACCGTGACGAATTGATTTATTTAAAAGAAACTTTTGGAATCTACAGTCACAAGGATTTTCCTGTAAACAAGCAGAAGAAGATTCTGATGCTAACATAATTAAGATCTGGATAGAAACTGCTAGAGATACCAATAAAACTGTCATAGTTGTGGGTTAAGATATTTTGGTCCTTTTGAATCAATTGAATTCAAATAATTATGACATTTATTTTCTCAAACCAGGTTCTAGAAATGTAAAAGATTTATTTTTCAAATATGAATCTTTCAAAAATATCGCTGCATTTCTGTATTGTTTTTCTGGTTGCGATACAACATCTGGGTTTGCCGGAAAAGGAAAGCAAAACATCGTAAATTCATTGTTTTCTAATATATAAAATTCTCGTGTTACAGTGTGTAACCAAACTCTTCCGAAACGGTTTGACTGATTTTTATGAAATTTTCTGTCTATATTCGGTAGGTCTGAGAATAGGTTGTAAACTATTTTTTATACCCCTAGGTGATAAGAGTGGCCCATCCAAAAAAAAATTTTTTTTTTCGGACAAAATTTGTTATTTTTATTTTTTTAAGATTTGGCTTCAAAAAATACAATTAACCCTAAATTTTCACCCTTCTACCACCAACCCCCATTTTGTAGTAACGATATTAGTATCTTTACTTTCATCCACAGATACACAAGGCAGGTTTCAACATGGCTGTTGAATATAATAATCATTGTCGTACGATAAATTTTTATGTATAATTTATAATTTAATTTAATTATAATTTA